AATAATCAATATATTTGGCTTCTATAGTTCTAGAAGTGCTCATCAACATGATTTGCATATTTCCCTCAGCTAGACGATCTCCATCATCAGGTTCTTTCGATTTATTAGATTTCGCCACCATTTCACTCAATCTTACTTGCTCAATTTTCCTGAGATAAATAGCAGGGAAAGGGAATTCAACCTCCGGTTTCCTCAGTATGTTGAAAAAATACGAAAACACAGATGCACCCGAAGTTATAAGCTTAACTGCTGGAATGCTCTGTTCATTCGCGACATGTTCAGCCCATTGCTGCAATATGTCATAAATCACCAAATCAGGTTTCAAATTTTCCAAGATTTTCGAAAAGTTTGGTTTGGACATTTTCAGGGCTTTTTTGAAGGATGTGATTGAGATTGGGTGGGAGACCATTGGTAGTATGGTAATGAGGAGGAAGTTCGGGTAATTCTGGTAAGTGAAGTTCGATAAGCTGAATCAAATCAGCATACTTTTCGGGGATTTTCTTGATGGTGGATTTGAGATTTATCGGAGTTGAACAGAAGTAAATCAAGAATCCTCTGTCCGCGAGTTTCTTAGCTACGTTTAGAAATGGAGAGATGTGTCCATAAGCCAAAAATGGGAACATCAGTACCCTCAAAGTACTAAGAGGCTCTGTAACTTGTTTAGCCATGATCAAAATCTTGAAATGAAAATAGCGTGAGAAATGAGAGACGGTTTCTCTATGGAGTTGGTTTGCTTATTTATTAAAGAGAAAAGACTCAAATATGTATCGAACTACGTGCTCATCTATGATATTCGTTAAAAGTTTGTCTTATCTATGTCATTTATGTTCATGTCATAATTTGTTAACTGCAATGGCATAAATGATCAAAAATTTGAACGGATGACATAGATGAGTCTTTTTCTCAAAGTTAGATGACATATTTGAGTCATTTCCATTTTAAAAAAATGATTTAATTAATGACGTAAACGAATCATAACAAACCACATATACGAAATAAATTTGCAACATCAAAATTGTTTTCGGTTAACAAATAATGATATAGATGAGTTTTTTTTTCAAACAAAAAGGACATAGATGAGTCAAACTTTTAATCAGTCACACAAATAAACCTTTTTTTTCTTAAAGTTCGATGACATATTTGGAATTTTTCCCTTTACTATTAAATACATAAGAGAGATGAGGACAAAAGGGAATCATCTACACAAATACGTTAAAACTTTTACATTAAAAGCTCATCGAAAAATACACATTACTCAATTCCCCAAAAAGTGATGATAACAATGTAGGTGAAAAATACGAAAACCTATGACTTTCTATAAATGATCACATTATTCATTCTGATGTCCTACAATACTTGTCCACTATTGACTTTGAACATTGTTTAAGAAATTATAAATAAAAGGATAATTTTATTATATTATCCTTTGAATATGATAAATATCATTGCTTGAAAAATATAATAGAAAAAGTAAAAATTTAATAATTGGCATATATAGGACTAATAATTATCAGTTATGACACTATTCTTTATCTTTTAAGTTATAACAATAAATAATTATAGGTTATAACATTTTTATGATAATTAATGATACGGATAAATTAGGAACTAAGTGTAAAATTATCCATTGATTTCATAAAGTGGACAAGTATTGTTGA